AGGCATCACTTTGGCCTGCCAGGCTGATCAAACCACTCCTCATCCAAATTTCATCGTCTTAAAAGAGTTGTTATTTTTGTTGTCATAACAGTTAGGAGTCAAGCTGCCTTTGGGAAACACCTGACCAAAGATCTTGACTGGAAAGCTTACAAAATGAAACAAATCATAGAATCATAGAATCTCTCAGTTTGGAAATTACCTTAAAGATCAAGTCCAACCGCAATATAACCATACTACCCTAACTCTAACAACCTTCTGTTAAATCACGTCCCTGAGCACCACAGAGGAAATGGAAGTTGAGAAAGAAAAGGGATTTATCCCTGGGTATGGAGCTATTAAAACCTGCTGAGATTTTACTGAATGGGACATGCTGGGTCTGCTCTTTACACAGACTTCTCACAAAAACACAGATCTTGTTCAAGATCTTGCTCCCTCTCAGGGCGTTCTGATACAGCACATCAAAGGTCCAGCTACAACAAAAAACACAGTCTTGTCAAAGACTCTGGATCCAGCAGGTGCCTTTGGAGGGCCAGCCCCATGCTGTCAGGACCTTGCAAGGGGTGGAAACAGCATCTTTTTTCCCCACCTGGCTCCACTAGCCCAGTTCTGTGCCAGTACAGTACTGAGCAGCTGTCAGTGAAAGTACGCACAGTAATACCTTCGGATACTTACTTTCTGGGTCTTGTAGCCCAGTTCAGTTTTACTGTGCTTTCTTAGGTGTGCCTTCCTTATTGCCTTCATGCCCAAGAATCACTCACATGCCATGCTAGCACAACAAATGCCACAGCCTTTTCTTCCAAAGCAAAGCAGAAAACAACAGCTTCAAGTCATTTCAGCATTCAGCCTCCTGCTGTCAGTTCTGTGAAGCAAGGGCAGGCAAACCTCAGTCCAGCAAGGCTGCAACTGTCAATACAGTGATAAATCTCTGTTCCTGAGAGTGCTCAAACACAGCTGCTCCAACCCAGAGAAAGAACATTTGTGACCAGCGCTGTTTAAGGTCATGGACATAGAATGACTATATTTGTTCAGCATTTACTTGTCAAAGAAAGACCTCAGTAAGTTAGTTTTCAGATAAACTGTGTGTCACTATATTTGCCTCCAAATATTGCATACAAAAATACCTTCTCCTCCACAGCAGTATGTAAGCATTTCTAAGCAACCTCTTATTCCTGCAAGACATATCAAAATGACAGTCTGGTTAAGGTGATGAGCATATTTCAGGCACGCTCAGTTCATACAGGTTAGGGCTGTTACATTCCTCAGCTAATGCCTGACTTTGGTGACTATGTAAGGGCTATTGGTGCTGCAGTGTTCCCCAGAATTTCCCATACTTCTGCAAATTTAAGCAACACACTGCTGCTGATTGATTACAGTAATTTTGTTGTTCACATCATCCTATTCATATCACAGCAGGTATTGCTTGTAATTATTAACCCTATTTGTTATAACAGATGCACGGGTAGCGAAAAACAGTGAGAAGCAAATAATTTAACTGATAATAAAATAAGCTGTTCACAGAAAGGCAATATGCTAATTATCTCTAAACTATGTCCGTCAGCTTCTGTTAGCATTTCTTAGACTCCTCATTCCCCAGAGGAACAACTTTTGCAGGGTTGAGTCCTAAAGAACACACTTAATTTCCCAGTAGGAGAGATCCTCATTGTGTATTTTTCCAACCTTCGCTCTCACACAGATCCGAGCAACTTCATAAATAGTCTGTGATAAATAGGCATTTAATCATGGAATTAACTATAGAACAGGCAAAGAACTGAAGCAGTGGCAACTGGGTATGATATGGAAGCTGTCATTTTAGTAAGTGTTCGGATGGTTGTTCAGTAACACATCTTTTTATCTCCAGTGTTAGCGGGTGGTTACATTCAATGGATTTGTTCAAACTAAAGGTGGCCACCAGCTTCCACATATCCTTCCTTCGAATGTGTCAGCTGGCTTATGTTTAAATTTAGATTTTAAATACTGGCAGGTATTGTCTCAAATCAAGCAGTTTTCTCTGCGTTCATTTTTAAAAACAGAACGTAAAAAGCAAACTCAGTGTTTACTTTCTTTACCTCACTGTCACTTTCCAAGAAAATATCTTCTGCTCTTGTAGTGGAAAAATTAAAATGTGTCGAGGTAATAGCATTAAAAGATTTTTACTTTTTCAGAACAAATATTTGGCTTTTTCTGTTTTGGACTAAAACATTCCACAAAGCCAGAATGGATTCATGACAGAGAAGTCAGAATAAGGTAAATGGATTAACAGTCACTTTGAATTACTTACATTTCCAGAATAAAGGCAGCATGTACACATAGAAGGAACGCTGCCTGCATCCTAACAGTGAAAAAAAAAATAATCAAGTGGTTTATGAATATTCTTTCCAACAAGGAATGGGGACAGCCTTCAAGTGCTCACGTGTGTATATTCAGGGATGATGGTTTTAAAGACAGAAACACATATTCTGAATCCTTAAGAATAAGTTGAGAGAACAGAAAGAATCAAATAGGAATGGAAAACCAGGAAGCTATTTCAATATCTATTTAAGCACTCTGCAAGGAATGGAATGATAGTTATTCTGCAGAAATACTAGAAATCTAGAAAATACAGTGGAGAAACCACAATACTAGCTAAGTGTAGAAGGATTTAATATTGGCTAATCAGACCCACGGTTTGAACCGTAATGGTCCTTCTTATGTTCTGGTCAGCCTGCCTTTTTTTGAAAGTCAACAGTCTGGAATATACAAGCAGGCTGCAAACTAAATTGCTATTACAGCTTTCATCCCAGCACGATATGCTGAGCCAAAATCATGAACTCTGCATACAGGAACAGAGCAGCTCTGCTGATCCCAAGGAACACACAGGGAACATGACCTCTTGAGGATGCCCAGCTGTTATGTACTCTCATTGTAGTAGTGAGTAGATAGTAAGTCACAACTATTCTTATACTCAGTAGGAGTTGCAAGATAAACTTCAGTCACCTATGTGCTTGGATTGCCATTAATCTCTACATAAGGCACCAAGGGAAAGTATTCAGAGTGCTCCATGCCAGACTGATGGGGCCCTGGGCAGCCTGATCCCCCCACAGTAGCAGGCTGGAAATGGGGGTCCCATCCAAACCAAGCCATTCTGTGATTCTACGAAAGTTTTAATAAGAATAAAATAGGAAGTACACACTACTAAAAGTAAATTCCCTGGAAAAAAAAAAAACAAACCTTCCAGCTCCTGGAAGCAAGAGGATTTTTGCCAGATGTGGAAACTCAGAGAGGCTGTCAAGCATTGCACAGCTGCAGCTACGTCTTCGTCTTTAATGAATGCTTAGTTACTCTGTCGGGAGTACAGGCACTTATGAACTCTTGCTGATGGTAGGTGAAGCTAATCTACCAGCTCCTGCTGGCTCCAGGTATTGGAGGGAGCCATCAAGCCCCTGTTCTGACAGGCAGTAGCAAGAATTAATTGGTGTGCTGATTAGACACCTAATTTAGCCACTTCTGACACTGAATTTAGCTTAATCACAATTAATTCCAGTTCTTCCAGCAAAATACACATGGCATTCCATGGATGCCCCAGAAATCTGAGACACAGCAATATGATAACACAGCACTTCAGACATGCAGCAGCAAAGGCACTCTCCCATCTGACTTGATCTTTGAGTATGTTCAAAAATAACAGTGCACTTGGGCTAAACCGCTAGAAATGTGGGATGACATGCTTAAACACAACCTTTGTTTGCCCTTGTGCAGATTATAGGTCATACCTAAAAGCATGTTCTCACAGGATTAGGTAAATTGTCTTTTATTGAAACATACTGTAGTATGAATTGGGGGGTGCTGAGGGGAAGATTCCAGTTTAACAAAAGTACACTGCCTTTCAGGATCCCAAATAACTATTGATATCTGCTATCCTGCAGCAAATAATATCTTCCTTGACAAGTCAGACCGCTGCTCTTTCTCTATCTTTCTTCTGTTATCTTTAATAGCCATGGTTTGTTTTGGATTTTTGAAAAAATTTTGTGCCTTGATGATGTGTCTCAACTCCTGCTATCAGTGCTGGTTAGTTTAATCTAATACCTGCTCTTGTGTACAAAACTTAGCTCAAGTGCTTTTGAAATGAGAGCGTGCTGGATATGCTCATCTGGTCCAGGCTGCTCCCCTTCCAGTCTGCACAGCTGTAGGCTCTGAGCCTCTTAAAAATAGGTATCACACAGAGTGGAAAAAGTTAACAGTTTGGATAGCCATCATCTTTTCTGCAATCTTTTTCCAGCACTTGCTCTGCACTGAGAAACACAAAAACAGCCACAGATTGGTACCTCTTTGAACAAACAGACTGATTTTCATCCAAAAATCAAAGGCATCTCATAGCAACATCCAACTGTTGCTGTGTGTCTGAGAGCAGTCTTTAAACTAGACCATTCAAAAAACTGCTTCTAGAGAACATCCTTAAGTCAATGAGCATCATGGGAATCATGTGTATGTCAGTATGACATACCCAGATATCTCTGCGTTCTGTGTCACAACTTGCCTAATGGTATTACTGACTGAGAATCCGTGGTTAAGAAATAGCATTAGTTGTATATTCCTAGTTAGATCTTATATTCTTAAACCACTCCTGTGGACTGGATGGTAAAGAAAGCATCACGTTGGGAGTAGAAGCTAGACTAATTCCATTTAAAATGGATTTTTGGCAAATATTTTAAGAAATATGGTCTTCTTTATACTCCACAGTGGTGCATGCGCACTGTATTTTTCATGTGCAAACAGAGGATTGGCCTATTCAGCACTTGACAGGGGAAAACAGATTTCTGCTCAAACTATACGTATGTATTGTGCTGTCATGGTTGACATGTGCATTTCTCTTAGCTCTCTTGTGCTCTCCTTATATAGTTAATACCCAAAGAAGATTTTTTTAACCTCTTATTTGTAGCCATCTGCTAAAAAGTATACTAGCAAGGAGTGAAAATTATATCACACACCATGAAAGTAAGAGCCATGCTTTGTGATTTGAACAGGTCCCCAGTGGTACCCTTCCCGTGTTGGCCTGCAACTGGAACGCAGTAAGTATTCACACATGTTAAAGATGCCTAACATATTACTAAGCCTTTGGCAAATTTGCCCAAGAACTTGCATTCATCATGATGATAGTGCCACCTCTTATAAAATACCCTAAAAACACGAATGCTCAGACAAAAACTATCAAAAGTCATCAGTGACCAAGAGGCTGTGTAGCATTGACTTTCCCATTAGTCTTGCAAGACAGAATTAAAAGTAATCTATGAAACCGTGTCTCTCTAGTGGTCTAGATAGCATCAAAACAATTCCTGGGCATTGCCACCCGCGTCATGTCAGCCTCATTCTTTTGTTAAAAAGACGGAAGAGAAGCTCTCATAGAAATATTATAAGCTGCTAACCAGGAAAATAAGCACCAAGTCACCAAAATAAAATGGAAAACAAGCTGTGCCTTTTACATTTGAGGCATAGTCCGAGTGCAGCACAAAGAAAAGGGTTCAACTATTTGACCATTAGCAGGGCAACCTATGCATTATGCTAAGCCACTGAACAGATGTGTGCTGTTTGTGCCATTTTCTCTTCCCTTTCTGTCATTCCAGATGGGCCCTATTTGAAGGATTCTGTTAACATTCAAAGCCTTGCAGCGTCCTCCATCATTACACTGTATTTTACAGACCTGGGTCAGCAGGTCAGTTGGACCACAGTAAGTATGTCCTTGTAAAAATCAGCATGACACATCTTAATGTACAATGTCTTGCAGAATCAAATTGCTCCAGCTTCCTCAGCCTTTCCTTCCCTACATCAAATAGTGTAATTACCACAGTCTGAATAGAATTAAATTGATATTAAACCAAATTATCAACATGCTAACTGTAACATTCAATTACAGATTAGAAAGTGGACATACCAATATTGCCCAAGGGAGAAAGAAATCAATTAAAAAAAAAAAAAAAAAAAATTTAGCTTATCTAGGGTTTATATGCCTGTGTAGGACCTGTTGCCAAATACATTCATTTGCTTCAAGGCTCCTGTGGAGGTTATTAAAAAACAAAATACGGATTTCTGGTAATCCTCTTAGTAAAGCAGGAGAATTATTGCATGGGACCATCTTATTCTTTGCTTACTCAAAGAACGGTTATGAGAGTAGCAAGGCCAAGGATCTCAGGCAGAATATGCTCAGTAGTGTTACGACTTTAAGTGGTTTGCAGATGATAGCTCCTTTTTCCTCTTACTATGGTTTAATAAGCATTACTGCAAGTCACTTACAAGAAATGGACATGCTCCTTATCAGTTAATGCTTAAGGTGGATGCCACTGCTAGAACAGCTCCTGACTTTGAGAAGAGCGAGCTTCTGAATCAGCGCTGTGATATCACATATCTGTCTGTCCTGCTGAAGGTCACACATTTCTCACTCACCAGGTTAGCACATTGCTCCCAGTGCTGCAATCTCTGAGGTTTTCACCCCCAAGAATAAGAACATGACTGCATTTATCTTTCCCAGCTTGAAGAGAGGACTGAAATCCCCAAGTGGTGACAATCAGTTTATGAAGTGGAATTGGAGTAGATTATACTCTGAGACCTCTACTCATTTTTAGTAGAGATATGTGCGTTTACCAAGGCTGAGGCTTCGTCCCACTGATTTCCATGGGCCATACTGATTAATGCTAGCTGACATTCTGTATCCCCCTAAACCATCCCACCTCTGCTATAGCCTTTTAAAGTACTCCTCATGGAAAAACAACTATGCAATTTCCTTGCAGAGCAAGAAGTGTGAGTACTGTGGTCTCTCTACTCTACTCTACTAGTAGTGAGTAGTGCGAGTAGTGAGACTAAGAAATCTGCACAAACCTTATTTATTCTCTCCTTTCCTGATGGTTTATGTAGCAGTAGACTGTAACATAACTACAGCTTAATAGTGCATTATAAATAGAGCAGTTATGACTACGCACTGATACTGCAGGCAGTGGCATTTTTTTTAATGATTTGATCTGCGTGTGCAAAAAGTTGACTGGGGCTTTTTGAATACTCATCTTACTCTGTTCTGTTCTGCATTTTAAATTGTGTTCATTCATCAGGAGATATCTTCTTCCTAGCCACTTCATTTAGTTCAAATAGCAGAGAGATTTTATATTATAGGTAGTTTACAGCAATGGAGAAAGAGTTCATAAAAGACTGTATTTTAAAAGTAGCAATTAAGAATGTATTTGTACACAGGATGTAGAGTGTTACTGCTATTATTACTACGCTCAGAGCTCCCCTTCAAACCCCCTTGCTGTTCCATCAGATTTATGCACACAGGGACAGGTTTGATTTAAAATGCTGACATTTAAATAAACAAGGCATAGAATAAAAATACTTCTTCCTCATCAGCAAAAGGATAGCTGAAGTACAGAGGGCCACATCCAGGTCCACAGCTTAAAAATAGACACAGAAACATACAGAGATGTGCTGCTGCTCCAAGGGACGGTGCCTCAGGCATGGATCTGGCTATGGGAAAACTAAACACAGTGATGGATCTTCTGGGGCTTCTCATCTCGCTGGGGATCACACATGGAGTGATTGCTTGAGAATCAAGAACACCAAGTCCCTAAGTCATATAATCAGGGAATGGTTGGGTTGGAAGGGACCTCAAAGATCATCTGTTTTCAACTGCTGTGCTATTGACAGGGCTGCTCCCCACCAGCTCAGGCTGCCCAGGGCCCCATCCAATCCAGCCTCAAACACCACTAATCTCTCCAGGCAGCCTGTGCCAGAGCCTCAGCACTTCCTCAATTAAAAAACTCCCCCTGATGTGCTTTCTTGTTTGTAAGACAAACATTAGCTGAAGCACACAGTTCTCTTCCATACGTTATCAATTCCCTTATTCCACGTGTCGGGCATACCTGAGATGTGCTATCTGATGCTGCAGAGACACAAATGAGAACTGAGCTCACAGAACTCTTCTGTATGTCTCCTGCAGAGACTGTACTCCCACATGTGCTGGAAATTCCCACCACTGGAGTAATGGGCTTTTGTTTTTAATCTGTCCTATTTGGGATCTAAGCATGTTTGACAGAGACCTCTTTTTCTATATTGCAATGCAGCGTGTGTGTACAGTAAACAAATGCACACTTGGAAAGAGCATCATAGTGAGATGGAAAAGGAACAAATAGAAGGCATGCTCACCTGCATTCAAAGATTTAGACTTATGATGAAAAGCTCCACAAAGAAGGAATCTCCAGAAAAAACCTTTTCCTAGTGGCAGTCAGCCCTTAAATGGAATCTAGGAGGGGTGGAGCCAGGTTCTACCCCTTCTGGTCACACAGCTGAATTACCTTCACCAGTGCTCCCATGGCTGACCCAGTCCTTGCCTCAAGTGATCAAACAGTGGTTCAGGCCATGACTCGACAGTTCCCATACAATGTGACTTCTGGAAACACTGACATTTTACTGCTAGAAATGCATGCTACTGCCTTTCTCAAAAGGGAAAAAAAAGCCATTCTTCCTGCTGAAACTAAGGCTCGTGCTAAAGCTTTCGTTATTTGAGCAGCAATTGCAGTTTCTGATTCTGTTCAGCTTCTGTTTTTCAGTTGCTGCCTGGGCAGGCTACCAGAAGGATTGAAATAGAACTGAGAAAACAGTACAGAACTGTGAAAAATATATTTTACCTCCAAGTCTGTGAATTTTGTAAGAAAGATTAACCCTGAAACACAGTACTTCAGTAAATATTTTTTGTAACTGAGTTAAAATTAAGGATTGCTTAAATACTTTGACTCCTGGGAGCCTTAAAATACTGAGGCTGGCAGCAGAACTGCTCCATTTGCTTAGACTGTAGCTCAGTTTGTACATATTTTTCCTCTATGTTTGCACAGCACCCTTCTTGTGTACATACTATAAACCCTCCTTATATGATTGATTCCATACAGCTCTGTGGTGCACACAAATAATCAAGAAAAAAAAATCATTCTGAGTTACTACTTCAATAAACTTCTGTTTGTGTAAACCATAATGATGCTATGATGGTTGGACTCAATGACTTTAGTGGTCTTCTACAACTGTAATAATTCTATGATAAAGCTGGCTGAAAAAAAAAGGAACCGTATTTAGGAGGTTTAGGATTATATATACATAAATATGTATATATATAATAAATTATATATTTTATATATATATTTTTTTCCTGGAATAATTCCAATAATTTTTTCAGTGAAAAAAGAATCTCAACTTGGAAATGTAGAAACTAACACCTAAGCCTGAGAGATCTGGGGAAATTGGAGGAGTGGGAGGTCTGGGACTCCCAGCAAACATGTGGATCAGTGGAAAGAAGATAAATGAAAGAAAACTTGAAGGATCTTTGCTTAGGAAAGAATCTGAGCTCAAGTTAGGAGAATCAGCTGAGGCTGTACAGGATGTATAGATGGAGAACGTATTTCTCACCAGACATTTAATAGACCTTGCATATCTTGTGGCCAGTTCAAATACAACTGTGGGACAGGATCCTCCCATCTGAGTAACCCTTCCATGGAACTGTGAGTGCCAAAGAAACAGAACAAGTGGGTCCATGCAAATCTGTTGGCAGCTTTAGAATGGCTACAACACAGATTGCCAAAGAGAAAGAACTTCCCAAAGCTTTTCTGGTTGCTTAACCTCTTGGATCAATAGAGAATTTAATCATAGAAAATCTTCCGGAAAAAAAAAAGTCACTATTTCCTCTACAGCTATGTTTCCCACCATAATTATTTGTAATACAAATATGGTACAGCTAGCAGTGTGTGCCTGGCTTGAACGCAAGATGCCGTGCACAGTGAGCATTGCTTTACCTTGGTACAGCTGGCCAAGTCTTGAGCTGTTTGGAGTCAAATTCTGGAAACTTGCACAACACTGTAACTTTTCACAAAGGCAAACTGCCCACACAAGATTGTTTTTATTTTTCATTTAATTAAGTCTAATAGCTTTTAACCTGCAGGGTTATCGAGAGAGAACAGCTTGCATTTGCATTTCTTGCCTTTTATTATGTATTTTCTTTGTACTTTTCCTCGGGCCATATATATTTGTGGCTTTATGTTACTGCCCATTGGCAGCATGAAATGAACTGATAAGGGAAAAGGAGACCTTAGCTGAGATGGTGCAACTGGTTGATTGGGATTGCTCAGATGCTGTTTCTAATACGGCAAACAGTACTGCAATTCTGTCTCCTGGTCTGGGCAACAAATGCCACCAGCTTGTGAAGAACCATGCCAGGACATCCGTTCTTCAGCCACCAAAGGGAGTTGAAAGCTACCAGGAAAACTAATTGTAAGAGAGGCGAATGCTTTAGTTGAGCAAAGCATAGGCTGCATAACCCATGGTTAAGTGTTTATACTAATACTCTTGAGTTTTTACTGCTTAAAGTGCAAAGAGAAGGTAGAGGGAATTCGTTAAACATAAAAAGAGCAAGATGTTTTTTTTTTTTTGCTGTTATACACAGCTTGATGCTTACACCAATTCTGCTGCTAAAGCAGCCAAGCACGACTCTGTGTCTAAGTGTAGTCCCTGTCCTGTGTGTAATCAGAGAAACAAGGGACATCTGCAATTTGTCAGTCTTTATGCAAAATTGTGAAAAGCTTTAGTCCCTCTAAAATGTGCTAAGTCTGTTAAAGTTGTTTTGTATGGAGAAGTTTTGTCCTGCACTGTGCTAGGGTGAGCACAAAGAGGAGTGATCCATGGTTTGGGAGGGTGAGGTTCTTTGCCCACCTTGTGTGATGACTTGCCTGAATTTCTCTGTATCTCACATTCCATCTCCATGCCAAGAAAATAACAGTATTTCCCTCTTTTACAAAGCACTTTGAGGCTTCTGGATGAAAAGAGCTGTGGAAGAGCTAGTTGAGGTTATTAGTAACAGCAAGGTGTTTAAAAGCACCATTTCATTCAGATGTCTACATAGCAGATGATGAATACAAATTTTAGGGCAGATTTTAGCGCAGACTGCTCAGACTTGGGAGAAAAGATGGGAGGAAGCAGTGATTTCCTCAGCCTTTTCCCTCAGGGAAGCACAGGCTCAGGTAGCAGAGCCATCTATCACTGTTTATTCTCCAGCTCCCGAGTCAGGTGCAATTTGCCTATAAAACCCTACAAATCCATTCCTATTCTCTGGTATTTGCAATAAATATTGCAATGTAGCCTTAAATACTGAGTCACTGTGAAATCTGCCCAGACGAGGGAAGCTTTAGGTGTCTCTGTGTGCACTGTTCAAGTTTTGTAGAATGGATCAGCCCTTCCATGAAAACTGGACCAAAAAATCACTGAATACTGAAGATGCCTTTAAGGATTTTACTACCTGATTTTACTACTGCTGAGGATTTTTGCAGATGTGAAAATACAACAAATTTTAAAAGGCAAAGATTTAAAGATGAAGTTAAAATGATGCCATTATCATCCCCAGGTAACTATATGACCTTTAATGAGATACCACAGCATGCAAAGTAGAAATAATGAAGTTTCTTAATGATTATTAGCTCAAGAATACATAATGCTGAAATTGTACGAGTCTAAGGGAGTTAGATGCTAAGTTTAATGTGGTTTGGGAACTTGGGGATTTTGGACTGCTTGGTTCTCTCTGGTTTCTCAGAAATCCCAGCTGCCTTCTGTACACATGCACAAAGCAGCAGTCTGTGTAGTACCAGCAGATCTTCCTCCTTATGCACACATAACGTCTCAGTCTGACCCAGGCTCAAACCTGTGACCAATGCCTTTGTCTCACACCTATTGAGAAACTAGGCTCCATCTGTTTGATAATTTATGTCCTGCAGCTGTTTTTCCATCCAAGTTGCCCAGGACATGCTTAAGCTTTTTCATCTACCTCTTGCTGTGCTGAGAGCTTCATGCAGTGGCCCAGAGTCCTTGTCATGCTTCAGGGATTGCCCTCACACCGCAGACATTACTTCCTCTGCTTGAAACAAGCTGCCATGTTGGCAGGGGACAAGAAACTATCACCACCAGCACCAATAAACTGGGAAACTGCCCCCACATGATATGGAGCAAATTATGGGAATGGAACAGCATGGCAAAGGTTGTATGGCCTTTTCTCAGATCCACTCTGCAGCTTGTCATACATGAGATAATGTAACACTATGCCAAAAGGCAACATGATACAAGCTTGGGTACATTGTGCAGGATTACAGAAAGGGCAAGTCATAAACATTACAGAAAGGAATTAGCTGATGCCTTCATCTGAAGATTGCTAATCCATGGGCTGTTTGTTTGTAAAGGTTCTCCTGCACATTATTCAGGCTTTTTCCACTCCATTCCCTCTATTTATAGTTTCTGTTTGTTCTTTCCTGCCTTTTCCCAAACCGTACACAATATGCCATTAACTCACATCAGAAATCCTTCCACCTCCTGCAGTCATCCTGTTGGGACAGTATCAGGCATTATGCCAGCTGTGCCCACCAGCCAGGAAATTCAACTCTCATTCCCTCTGCACTACAAAGAACAAAACCCTTTAAACAACTCCTTTTACCTCTACTGTACTCATCTCTCCCTCCATGTACCCTCTGCCTCATGAAGTGTGGGATTATAACTCCTGACCTGGTCGTTACTTAGTTTAGCAAGGTACTGGGCACGATAACCTGGACAAAAGATTAAAAAAGAGATGGGCTTTTGGAAACTCTAGGGAAAGAGGTACCATTCTGCTCAGGCAGAATGATATCCATCACTGTTTGACAATTATTTTCCCAATTATTTTTCCCATCATCTCTTCAGTGATGGAAACGGAGACGAGCAGATTGGAGACTTCTCTATTAGCTTACCTGTGAGAGGTAACTACAGGACATAATGCCAGACACTTGAAAAGATAGGAGGAAGATAAGAGAAATGGACAACAGGCGTGATATGAAATAAGAAACATAGAGCGTACAGATGTGGGGGAAAAAAAGGGACAGTTTCTTCAGGGAGTTAATGATGAATTGAATTCTTTTGAGCTATGAACATTGTAATAGAGATATAGCACTCCTTCAGAAAAAGACCTTTGTGTTTATTATGGACCACCACGTCTAGCTGCACCCGAAATAATCTAGGCAGGCCCATAGGATGGTAAAGAAAAAGTAATTTTCTTTTGAATATTGGCTGTTTCAGCATTTCTGCAGAAGATAAATATTCATTGAAGATCAATAGTAAAAGGATGGTGCTTGTCTTTGACTGTCAGTGGTTAGAACTGATTGCATTTTGGTGTTTATTTAAGACTACTTTCCCTTCCACTTGCTTGAACTTGTGGTATTGGTAGCAGAGTTTCTCTGGAACTCACTTTTCAATTTTGGTGAATTTAAAATCAGTGGGACAGAGAAGGAGAGCAGAAGATGCAGTGTGGGAGATGGAGCAGCAGGAAACAGAGTGGAACTCATCCAACGTGTCAAAAGAAATGTGGAACCTCATCTTCTAAAAAGTGAATGCTACTAATCTCAACTGTATTCCAGCAATATGATGCAGTCATGATGAAGACAAATACAGCCCTGCTGGCCAGACTTTGATTGCAAATCCCACAGCTGATCCTAGACCACGTCTCCACCTGGGCGATTAATGCGTTGGATCCATCAATGCCTATATTTTGGGTATTAGGTTTTAATAGCAGAGGCAGATTTCTACAGTATTTGTAGAATGTCTTGTGCAGTGAGTCCCCAAATTGTTGGGAATAGACCAGTGCAACTGTTAATAAGACAGAAATCCAATAATCCTGTGGCTGTGGTGTGTTCTGCAAAAATCTGGGCTCTCATTCTAGCCTTGATGAAATGTTTCCATGCACGCAGGCACACATGCATTATTGCTCTTGGGATTATGCAGTCTAAATGTAGCACAGAAGTCACGGTATCTGTGGAAAAAAGAATTTGACATTTCTCCTCTAGAGAACGTTCAACTCTCTTACTTTTGGAGACAGTCCAGCTATTAAAGGCCAACATTTCCAAAGCTTCCCCCTGTAGTAGGGGAAAATAAAACAATACTGGGGATCCCAAAGCAACCAAATCTACTTGCAGAATGTTTCAGATGAGAACATTTTCTTTCAAATCTCTTAAGAAGAGAGATAAGAGAAACAGGGCACTGAGGGTCAGAGTGCCTGCCAAATTCTATTTTTGATGTTAGTCTAAATTCAGTGTTGCTCCCTTAAGCCATGGGTATTTACCTGTTACAGTTCTACAGCAGCACAAGTAGCTCCCCTAGCCTGTTAGTTAAACATCTTTACCCCTTAAGCAATACTATGCACTTGAGTTATGATTTGTCACTTTCTGGCCCTCGTAAAGATGTAGGATTTTGTAATCCGCAGGTTGCTTCTGTGGATGCCTGCACAGGGGAGCTTTTCTCCATCACTGAACAGAGGTTCCAAGCACCATACATCAGGCAGATTGGCCCCACTCGTCCACCCACCACCAAAAATTGAGCCATGATCTCTCACTTCCAGAGGACTCTGCAAGCAACCAAGGTTCAGAGCTACATTTCCTTCTCTCATATATGGTTGGCTTTAGACTGGTGTATCATTTAACCACACACAAAAACAAACAAACAAAAAACAAACAAACAAACAAACAAAAAACCCCCAAAAAACAACAACAAAAAAACAAACAACAAAAACCACCAGCAAAACACAACTTACCTTCAGTTTCAGAGCCTTCATTTGCAGTGGTATTTACATTCAAAACAGGCATTTGATGGCACAGCCAAAAGTATAAAGATAACGGTGATTTTCACCATCTTCCACAAAATCTTTGTGACTGGGTTCATGTTCTGCACAGAAATCTCACTCATTTGCTAGATGGATTTTACTCCTTTGCTAAAGAGACAGGAAAAAAAAACCCAAAAACTAGATGTTGTTTATGTCCTCAAAATGAAGCTGAAATAACATTTGAAGGATGCATGGGTGTTGTGGACAGGGTCTTTCTTTTTCTCATGTCTTTATTGGTGAAAATTCCCACTCTGATCCAGCTCTTTTATTTTTCATTCCTAGTTTTTTCTAACAGAATACACCGGGCCTCTACTAATATACCTGCTTTTTTACATTCGTCTCTCAACTATTTATGATCGAATGGAAACTACGAAGAACTTCCGCCACCCAGTGGTGCAGTAAGTGACACTCATGTGAATCATGTCCTGGAGACAGAGAGATGGAGGGGTGGGTGGTGGCTGGCTATCTAGGACAGGGTGGGAGGCAGCACTCCTCAGCTAGACTGGTTCCAGAGTAGTATTCAGAATTGCAGATCGTTCTCATCAAGCCTGACTAAAAATAGGGTTACAGTTGCAATGGTCACTGCATCTGCTTGCAATGGGAGACGTAGTATTTGCCCCTAAGTGTTTGCACTCTAGATGCACAGCCTGAACAGGAGGTTAAATAATAATCACAGGGTAGTAGACCCAAAGCCACACTTGACAGAGAGGAGAAGATAAGACTTCAGGTGTTCCACCTCTCAGTCTTTTCCCAGTGCCCTCCTACTTGAAGCTGGGTAGTGTCAGCGTAGAGCACAGCTCTCACCCAGGTAAGAATAAGGAGTTTGAAGAGGTTTGCTTGCCAATAGCCAGGTCATGAAGAACTGAGAAACTAAAGAGAAGCACCACAGGAATTCAGAACCATTAATCTGTTTTTTGAAGCTAAGCTCTTCAAAGCATAGTTGTTCTTCACGGTCACACAGTACGTCTGTGAGTTCTGAGAGTTTTAAGAAATAAAACATTCAAGTGACAAACACAAGTAAGAGCTCAGCCAGTATTACAGAAGCGTGAAAACTGCATACTGTATCCAGCTGTACAGAAAAAAAAAAGAAAAAGAACATAAATACAGGAGCAGAAATCTGGCACCTTTGCTTCTCTCCATCACTGTAATGCTAAAGAAAAACGAAACAGCTCAGGTATGATACAGTAGTTGCTGGCCACAAGGAAATGGGTTGATGGTTGGACTAGATCATCTAGTGGTCTTTCCAATCTTAATGATTCTATGATTCTATTCTACCAAATGTGACCTGGTTAATCTGCTAGAATCGAAAAGAAATGAAGAGATGACAGTCAACCAATATAACATTTGAGGATCTCAGACAGTTCCAAGCATTTTGTAGGACTCTAGAAGAGATATGCTTGATGAGGGAGATCAAGAACTGCTACAGATGAGAAAGTGGCAAGCAGTAAAGCATGGTAGCTGCCAAGAAGGCTCCAGTGGGAACTCTCACACTAAGGAGTGCAGTTGAGTTTGATTCTCCTCATTCTGGGAGCATTAGTGGGAGGGACGGTGGAAGGTGATCAAGGAAAACCAAGAGCACTGGAAGAGAAGGGGCACACAGGAAGCCTGAAGAAATAGTGCAGCTTTCCTCTAGTGTTCTTTTTCCATACTGTAATTGCAGGATTGAGGGAGCTGATATACAGCAGAGAAACACACTTGGGTGATGCTGCCATTCAGAGATGGAGAAACAGAGGCTTGGAGAGAAGTTAAGGAACTTAGTGGAGCTGGGAATGAGAATGCAGAATAGCTGAATTCCAAACCAAAGCCTTCCTTCTTTTGCTCATTTACTTAGAAAAGAGAGTTTTCAGTAGCACAGAACAGACAAATAATTCAACCTTCTTTTAAGTGGGCAGGAGGTATTCAGAATCCTTAAAGTGACTGCTCCTCAATGGGTGCACATCTGAAGGTCCACATCTTAAGCCAAATTAATTTTAAAATTCCCAACAAAGCTGAAAGCTTGCTCTGGCCTTTGGTTAAGTAGATAATCGTTTGAAATTTTCTTAGCTCAAATCTCTCTGGTTTAATTACTTTGAAATTGTTTAATCTTTGACTTTGGATACCATACAAGATGCATAATAAAAGTATTTGGGATTTCACATGCAGAAAACCACTTTTCATTTATGTTTTATAATTGGTTTGCACTGAGACAGACTTTGGTAGTACGGTAAATGTAACTAAGATAAAATACCACAAGAAATCACTCTTGACATTTGTTTTTGAAACCCAATCTCTAAGAGCTTCAACTCATTCTCTGAAGCAAATCAGCAGCACCTGATATTGCTTCATAATCTTCCTCAAAAGAGAATCAGTATAATAATTTCTACAACGATTACTTCAGTTCTTTGTAATAGGGAACAAAAAAGTCATCAGAATGGATTAACTTTGCAACAAAATCTCATTTTGTGTCCGTAAGGAAATGAAATACAAACTACCGCCATGCAACTACTCAAGTTGGCAAAGGACAAGGAAACCATTCAGAAGCTATTCAGAATGTTTTTAAATGTCAGACACATCCTGCAGGATCATTAAGGTAGCCTTAAAACATGGGAGACTTCTTTTGGAAAAGCATGGCAGATGTCTGCTTGTATACACAGCTGTCCTGCTTTAATGTCCTGTCAGGGCGATGCATCACATTGAGAGCTGGAGGAGCTCTTGTTAATTCAAGGCTAGTAAAAAGAAGCTGTTCCCGTGCAAAATGAAGGCAACTTTGTATAGCTCTGAAAAATTATTCCATTAATCTCTGATTCCAGATGCTTCAATTAAGACAAAATCTTAAATCTCACGATTTCACTGTTTAAGAATATTAGTCCTTAACGCTTTTTGTCTCATTAAACTGTGAAATAATAAAAATCAATCTTTCATTTACCTTCATTTCCTTAATTTCTTTCTTTTTTTTTTTTTTTTTTTTTTCTTCTAGCTTGGCTTGCTTCTGCCATTGTTTGCACTACATCAGACATCTTCTGGAAACGTTATTTGTTCACAAGTTTTCTGGAGGGCACACTCCTCTGAAAAATATGATAAAGGTGACTGTGAATCTCATTTTGTGTAAGAGAGAATATCCTCACATTGAGGCAATCTTGGAAGAAGATAGGAAAATAAAAAATAATTTATTTTCTAGCTCAATAAATAATGATTAGTCAAAATATAAATATAGAAAAAAATCTCAGGGCCATGTCCCCAGGAACATGAACTGAAATCAATGTCCATTTTAGCTACTGCATGACAATGTCCACTTTGATTCATCCACCCAAGGGGCTGGTTGTCACGTCAGGATATTTTTCAGATTGAATGCTATTTTATTATGAGATACAGTGCTGCAACAATGAGCAATGCTGACAGTATCTCACTCCACTTCCTTGGTGCAATATAAATACAGAGTAAGAGACAGCCTTTGCATTAGGAAGTTAAAATGAAGTTACAAATAAATTATAAATATATCCCTTATCCTATAGATGGAAGCTCCAGGAGAGAAGATATCAAGCTGCCTAAAGTCTTCTGTCTCCTGAACTGCAGCCATGTGTCATTATCTCATAGGCTCTCCTTCCTTTTATTTCACTTATTCAAAACTCATTTTGCATCACCCCACTTCTGCATGCTGAAAGAGCCTTCCTTGAAAAGTTCTGCAACACATACAGCATTTCAGTGAAGGATATAAACATATGGCCAGGAAAGGCAACTTGACTCAGAAAGATGCTAATAAGATTCCAAACCATGGATGCTGTGGTGCAATACAAAAAAAAAACCCCACAACATAAAGAGGAATATAAGCTAGAGCACCTACATGGCTTTGGAGCCAGTGCTGCTTCTAAAGAGATTCATGCATGTGGGAATTGAAGACTTACAGTAACTTATTCCCACGTGTCTGTGCTTAACATACTTTCTATGAAAAGCATAGAAAAATTAAAAAGAGAAAGCCTGTCCTGCATCCCTTTGGGATGGAGCTGTAGCCAGTCCCAGCTCACTGCTCTCCCTGAGATGGTACAAAGTGTGGACACACAGAAAAAGCTTTATTCAGTCTCCATGGTTGTCTCAGTGGGCTGCTGAGTTTGGACTAATCCCTTGTAGAAAGGATTGGAGCAGTGATCCTTAAAAATGACAAGAGCACAGTCAAATTGTCTCTGCTGGGGCCTTCCCAAGCCTTTGGTCACCAGCCACAGTTGGGGTGCTGCTTTTTCACAAGTTGATGTAGCAGAGCCTAATCCATGCTGGTAAATGACGTGTAGCTTAAAGGCACTGCATGCCCTTTTTCAGCAGGGTTAAAATTGGCTTATTTGATTTTGCTCTTTATTATCTTAGCTGGTTTAGTGTTCTGTTTGGCTAGATCTATCTTGCCTAGAAACGCTGAGTTTATGGTATTGTCACAGCTCAACTCTTTTAACCAGCCCTAGGCTTTTAATAGTTCTACTCAGAGAAATATGCCCTTCAGTGCAAGAATCAAATAAGGAGAAGAAAACAAATGTCAGTTCCTACAACAGGGATGAAAAACATTCAGCAGACACTGAAAAATTTGCGCAGTGCATCCTTTTTTTTATTTTTTATTTTTAGTGGCGTTATAATGTCTTAGAAGATCTATATTCTGTATATTCTCAAGAAGCAGCTGCAAAGCCTTTCAGTAGTCATCTGGGCTTTGCACCTAGTAGCATTTATAGTTTCAGTTCATACTTGCTTGTCACCCTTTCTAACAAAAAAAAAATATGTTTTTTGTCCATTCCAGGGCTGTGTCTTTTACTGGGGTTTCACTTCTTGGATTGCATATTACATCAACCATCCCCGATATACGCCACCGTGTATGTATAAGCAGAGCACAAAACTGACCTTGGTTTTAAGAAGTTTTTGGTGGGCAACCTCAAATCCTACAAAATCAGTAGATGTTCTGGCCCCCAGATACTTTCAAAATAGAACATAAATTCTATTTTAATTTGCTGTGATTCATTAGAAGATATTTGAATTTGGTGTGCTTTAACAGTAATGCTGCAAACAAGGCTGAAAGTTTCCAAGACTTGTTTTTACCTGCTGGGACCATCAGTTCAGTAGATGCAGCTTGAAGCCTGACACCAGGTTTACATCTTTAACGTCTAATTGCTTGCCACCTCTTTAAAAAAACACTCATAGGTAAATATGGTCAATGCTGGATCACCACCTCTTTGGCATGTATTAGTTAAAAAAAAGAAAAAAAAAAAAAAAAAAAGGATTATTTAGGATGCTGGAGATGGTGACCTCTACAGCCATATCCACAGATGGTCATACTGGGGACAGGTAAATAAAGGCAAGGAGAGCTGTGCATTAATCCAGGCTGACAAAGGGCCCATGAAGAACATCTGTTCAGCAGCTACATGCTCAGCTGCTGCTATGTGCTACCTGTTCTGGGGAGGATTTTTATCATATGCCCTTGACAACATGGAGGAGTTGTGTACCAGCCAGAGAAAAAGGGTCCTCAAAAGTAAAGGCTTGAGGAAACTTGTTCAGTGGAGTGAAGGACATGTACATGTTTTGTGGCCCTCAGCTGTGACCAAAGTTTGTAGGAAAATTGTAATCTTGAACACCCTACAGTACTGCAGTGGTCTGGGGACATCAGAAAAAAAAAAAAGGAGATGGCAAGTGAAGGGCAGGTAAAAATTGCAAAGGCTAAATACGTATGGTGAGACTGTGAAGCAGATAGCAGATACACAGTAAAGCTGTACAACTACTTACTTACTACTGAGCTTTACTGCTAATGGAGATAGAAGGCTGGGTATGGGAAGTCATATGGACAGAACTGCGATGCCCAGCCTGTTTCTTCCACTGACGTTCGCTTTTTTCTTCCCCATACCTTTCCAAGGAATATAACACTACCAACTGCTTTAACAAAGCAATTCAATGTTGGAAGCTGGCAAATATTAGAAAAAGTTAGGTGAAAATTACCTTGAGATCAGTGGTGAAGAGATTGGCATTTTTGGAGTGACTTTACTATTTGCATTGTCTTCATATTGTGTGATAATATCCACTCTTTATGCAGACTCTGTCAGGAAAGACGTATTTCTGCTCCTCAGCACTAGATTAATTTCACCCATAGCAAACCATGTGCATACTGTAAAATTCAATTTATAATTTCATTCTATTTTCTAGCATTTGGCTACAGACAAGTTTCTCTTGCTGCCCTTGCTTTTCTGGTAAGTACAAAGTAAAACTTTTATAAATTATTCTGCAATAGGAAGAACTCATGGTTTAGCAAAATGAAGTAATGCTACTATGCATGTCTATTTATACAGGTCCACTTCTGCAGTCCTGTGTCATTTGACTGGAATTAGTTGTATTAAGGATATTAAGGTTTCTGGACCAGCAAGTCTCCTAGTATTATTTGCCTTAATGTAATGCACGGTATGTGAGAGCAATGAGAAATACGTCAGTGTTATTACTGCTCATAATCATGCAAAATGCTAATATTTAGACAGATTGGAACTTGAAGGCTCTAAAACAGAAGAAGCTATCCTAAGCAGATTTAGAAGTAGTAATGCATAACTGAAAAATTTACTCATCCCTCCCAGAATGGGTGAAGCCAAGGAGAGTGCAGGAGATGAAGGATTTTTTGGCAGCATTTGTTTTTCAGCAGTTTTAAGCTTGCCTTTGTGTATAATTAGCTATGATCAGATAAACCCCTTTTCAGGTGTGGCATTATCTTTTTCAGCAGATCGAAAGGAGATCATAGAACCAGTAGGATTGGATAAGGCCACTAACATCATCTAATCCAACTGTCAGCCCATCACCACTGTGCCCACTATGTCCTTCAGATGAGGGTATTTTCTAGTATTTGGGCAGCTTTCCATTTTAGGTAAAAATGCTGGCTGTGAGCATCTGGATCTCATGAAAACAGAGTGATGCCATGAGCAGTCAGGGTGGCTTTAGAAGACTGATGTCCTTCTTGGAGGTCTTTGTAAGAAATAATTCACCTGTTTCATTTATGAGAAAACTTTTCTAAGGTGCTCACATTCAACGCAAGTTGAAAGAAACTGCCTCCTGAGAGAATTAAATGCCTGTAAATTAGATGGTGGGGGGGAGGAGTTCAGTATGTTCATGTAAAGATATATAAATAAAATTAAATATAAATAAAATGCACATAGCTTCACCCACAGATCACTCAGAGTGCAGCACCTGCTGAACCTGATGTTTCAATCAACCTATTGTCCTGAGACAGGCTGAGTAAGAAATTCCCACATGTATATTCTCTTCTGTCCTCTACTGGCACTGCAGTTGGAAATAGGCTGAGTATTAACTACCGAGCAAGCATAGGTAACCGAAGCATTCAGCCTCTTTAAAAATCAGCTGCAGATCAATTTACAGAAATAAAACAGCAAGAGGACACAGTAATGCATCTTTTTCCTTCAGGCAAACACTGTTCAGAAATGCATTCAAACAACTCCTTATTAAAATTTGAATGCTTTCCTAAATCAGAACCCTTAAAGATCACAGTTCTGGCAGTACTTATCTGGGGCTTGGCTATGCAGTCCTCAGCTTTTCCTGCCCAAATAAGGTATAGCAAAGATGTGCAAGATGCTCTGAGTTTGCACACCCAAACAGCTGGTGCTGTGCAGCTGAGGCAATAATCCCACACCATAGGGCCAGGTGGCTGTGGTGGGCAGCGGTGTTTCCAAAGCCCTAAAGACTATGCCCTTCCCAAGCTCAGGGATTACTTGAAGCCAACCAAACTGACTATTCAGTGCTACCAGTAAAATTAACTTATAACAAAATCTCTGCTCACAAAAAGCCATTCTTTCCTATTGAAACTTCTATGGAAAAGTGTATGCTCAAGCCTAGAGAAGAGCCTAGTTGAGGGTGTTTGATATAAAGTAGGGCCATTCCCTTCAGATCTGCACCAGCAACTGTCTGTTGTCTGAATTCTTGCAGCTGTTTTGAGAAATTCACAGCCATGGAAACACAAACTTTCCCTTTCAGACCTTGTGCTGGCAGATTCCCCAACAGTTTAAAACACCAATATACAAAAGAAAACGATTTGAAGCTGTTTTCACAGGATTCTAATACTTATGAATAAAATGTTTGAAAGACTTATTTTTCCTCTTTTAAGGCCTTTAATACATGTCTTTAGTACATATCCTGATTTAAGTGCATACAACTGCAGCTGCTGTAAACAACAGTACAGAGTAATTGGAAGAGTGTCAGCAGGCCCTTCTGAAAGATTCTCCTATTTGGAGAAATTACTCAAAGCTGGGATGGTTATCTCACAGGGTTGTAAAGATGGGAAATGCTATGTAGACTTCAACAGTTCAACATTATAAAGATGGCAAGGCTTCTTTCAGCAGTTCTCCATTGCCCCACATTTAACATTTCTGAGACACTAAGGACTAGCTGACATTTACCAATTCTTCTTGATATAGAGCATTACCAGCCACCTTTCTCAACAAGGACATAAGAGCTACTTATGAGCAGAATCCAGCTGTAGAGTCAGATAAGAAAAAAGGAATCCCTACAGAAATGCCCTTTGCTTTTTAAACTTTTATTTGACTATGTAATTAGTAAGTGTTAACTGTAGAGCATGAATCTGTTTTGCTCTATAATAACCAGTGGTAGAACCCAAAGGAATGGCACAGAGATGCATTGGGAGGGGATTGGGTTGGGTGTAAGGAAAAGATTCTCCTCCAGAGGGCAGTGGGCATGGCTCTGAGCTTCCAGAGCTCAAGAAGCATTTGGACAATGCTCTCACAGGGTCTGATTTTGGGTACTGTGTGGAGCCAGGGGTGGGACATAATGGTCCCTTTGTGTCCTTTCCAACTCAGGATATTCTATGATTCTGTAATGTCAGCGTGAATTCTTTAAACTTTGAAACCTTTTTCTTTGAAGTAATTATAAACAAAAGCAATTATGTTCCCAGCTCATAATCAGAAGTACCTAATGCTGTGGATAGAATTATAACTCCTGATACAATACCTTATCTCAGAATTTCCTTTTCTGCCAGTTTAACATTCTATACCTGGTGTTTATGACAGATGATAGCCAGTTAGCTGTAAATGAAAAAAATGTCACAGAAAAGGACTGCAGGATTTGAGCCATGACTACTTATTCATGCAGAATAACAACTTTGCTAATAGAAGAACTGGTTTAAACTTTCCAAGCAAAAAACACAGAAATATCTCTGCCAAAGGGGGAAGAATTTTCTTCAGCAATGCTATCTACAATTTTTTTTCCCATAAGGGCACCTTTCGATACAAAATGAAATTACATATTCCTTCTAATTAGTCTTAATTGAAGTTTGCTATGGTTAATGTTGTCAGTATTGGCTTTAAAAATGGCAATCATAGTTTTCTTTTTTTCTGAATTAATTTTATGTCTTTAAGACTTATGATATCTCTAGGTTTTAGCATTCATCTTATTTCTTGATTTTTGCTAGTTTTGAAAAGTTTAGAGTGATAAAAAACCAACTTTGTGACACTGTTTTTTTTTTCAGTCTGAGAGGAGAAATCAGTCTTCAAACTCATAACTAGATAAAAATGTCCAGTTCAAGACTGAAATGTAAATCAGCCTTTTGATTTTCTTCATAAAGCAAGGGAAAAAAATGAAAAAAAAAAAAAGTGGGAAGAGGGTAGAACCACTAACCCCTGGAAGGAAAGTGAGTTCATTATGTCTTTACACAATCAACAGTCCTACTTCTTTGCAGGCTGGGTTACATCCAAATATTGAAGATGGTATTAATTTCAGAAAAGCATCCTTCAAAATTCTTTAGGTTTCAGGGAGACCTTCTGACATCCCAAAACTGAGGCATGTTGCATGTGCTGGGCATGGGAACTGCATTGGTCCATGGACTGTCACCACTGGAATGCATAGAATGCATTTCCCATGGGGTGGGTGCAGAAGTCCTTCTGGAGTTCACATCTTTGTTGGAAGAAGCCCTGAGCAGCCTGATGTTGTGGTTGGCAAACCTGCCCACAATAGAGGGTTGGAGCTGGATGGGCTTTAAGGTCCCTCCAAACCCAGGCCATTCTACAGTTCTATGATTCTATAGTTCTGGAGGCAAAGACTAAGTGTGGAGTGGAGATTCTGGTTATGCTCTGTAACACAGCCATCATTTTTGGCTGAACTGAAAATATGTTTTTAATGTCTTACAGATGTGTGAAGCTGGAAATCACTTTATCAACGTAGCATTAGCTCACCAAAATCATTCAGGTCTGTTTTATATTTGTCTATTAAAGACTGAAGTGTGCTTAACCTATCCATCTTCTACTGATATACAGTAATTTATGTATCTACAAGCACAGAATAAAGAAAGATTAAGTAGGTGCCTTGCCATCAGTGCAATGTGTTCAAAATAAATGTGGTGACAAGGAAACATTAGCAACACTGTTGTTGTTCCAAAACTTGTAGCTAATTTGTCTTAGTTAAAAAACCTACAATTTAAATATGTATTTAAGCACGGAATTTCTCTAAAGCATCCTGTTAACTGGCAACAGAGAATTTGATTTGAAATCAGTTTCAGAAGCTTAAAAACTATATTGCTGACTTTCTATAGATACAACCATCTCATGCACAGATACACATACAGATATGTACAAATACAAGAAAAGAAACCCACATGTGGGCATCTAAGTGTGCATGTGCAGGCTCTTAAACACTGCTACAAGCATGGGTTTTTCATGATCTTTTGTACCTTGAGAATAAAAACCATATATACTGGATATATATACTGCATATACTGGAAAGTAAAATATATTTTCAGATAATAACAGTGTAATTACTCATAACAGCATTCATTTCAAGAAAATACCTCACCATGGTATAGGTCAATTTCATGCAATCAAGTCTAAAGCATTTTAAAAGAACCAAAAGCAAAATATTTTTATTTCATTTTAGCATTCTCGGTGTCTAAAAGCATTAAAAATAGCGCTGTTGCAAGAACTCAAAAGTGAAACACACCATGTATAAGCATTATTGTTGGTGTAGAGAGCCTTGCTCTTAGTCCTGGAGTTGTTTTCCTGTTCTACTCAAGGATGAAGGATGAGCATGCAAGAGGGGACAAGTTCATGTTCCTGAGTCAGGCTGAATAAGACACAGCCATGTCCTTTATATTCCAGAAGAATGCCCTTAGCCCTCTCCTTCCAGGTACTCCACTTTAAACTACTTGTTTCTCTCTTTCTCTGAATAAAGGTTTTATCCTTTGGACATGCCAAACCTTTCCTGTAAAAACCAGCACATGGTTCACTAAGCAGTGCTCTCACTGGGAAAAATGCAGCTTTTTCTGTCTCAAATGTTTCACACCATTTTCTGACTATAGCTGTATTTTGGAAATGCCAACCAAAGTGATGCCTGTCACACAGGCAAATTATTAGAAGGCCATGTTCTCCTCCCTGTAATAAAAACATGGTTTTTTTTTTTTTTTTTTTTCCCCTCTTTTGTAAAGGAAACAAAGCCTGTTTTCCAAGTCCAACCTACAACCCCTTCACGTGGCTCTTCTTGCTGGTATCCTGTCCCAATTATACTTACGAGGTACATAACTTTCTCTTGCCTATTTGCAAAGGGGGAGCTATTATATTGAATAACACCATGTTTCAGCACATCTGCCATTCTCCATCCATTTCCATGTACACCAACTATTGTGTTCTCTGTTTCAGAGTCTCCTTGTTCCCACAAATGCTTCTCCACCACATCTCTTTCCTCATGCCACTATCATGACTTTGTATATATTCACCTCCACTCCAGACTCCCCACAGATCAAACAGTTAACTACCCACCCCTTTACCCTCATCAAACCTACTGGCCATCCCTTTCCATCCATTTTTCCTCTCGCCTGTGGAGTGCAAGTGTCAGGCTCTTTTTCCAGGGGAAGCTCTTAGGGAAGTGGTCACTTCCAAAAGCTTTCATTTTTGCTTTATTTAAACATACAATTAACAATGCCTTTTCCTCTGCAACAGGTTGGGTCTTGGATTAGTTTCACGGTAATGACACAAACCCTGCCAGGTAGGTTTGAAACAGAACAAAGACAGCTTCAAAATTATTTTGCAGAGATGATTTCTGTAAATCTAAAATGCGCCCCAAACTTACATCATGTGAAATATTGCCATCAAATCTCCCTCATGGCATGACTGTATGGACCTTCAAAGTGCTCCCCTCAGAAAGCTGTGGGGAGCATGAGCACTACTGAAACACCCCCATTAGCCTCCCTTGATCAAAACCTGCTCTCTGCTTTTTATGAAGTACTGTTATTTCTTCAGTTTTCACAGTGAAAAACCTTGAAATTTAATAAAAAAAAAGTTGTAATTTCATTTACAGTCAGACATTTTTAATATAGGGAACACACTTTTCACTTAAACCTGAAATTATACTTCTGATAGGGACAGGAAAACAGAAATACTTAGTAGTTCCAATGAGTAAAAATGCACACAAGTGGCTTACAACATTTCCCCATTTGTTCATATCAAACAACCAGCTCATAACAACAACCTTATTAGCAGCATCTGCAAATCTTTCTCAGTATTTTCCTGCATCCTTAGAGACCTAAATACCTATACAAATATGGTCCCTGGGACTGAGCTTTCCAGAACATTCACTATTTAATTCTCTCTCCATTCCAAAATAGAAACCAATAAAAGTTACTCGCAGAAGTAGCCCCACTTTGCTTACAAGTGAAAAAAAAAAAGGAATTTCAGAAGCAGATTAAATTCTACTCTGACAAAATCAAGATATAATGAAGTTTTGTTTGAAAAGATAAAAATATTTGTGCTGCAGGTCCAGGCATGGAAATAATCTGAAAATATAGGGATGCTGCAAGGCTGCAGGGGCAGAAAGCAGCCAAGTGCAGAAGAAACTGCAGACTGTTTTGTAAACCCTCATATACTCACAGAAGCAAACACTAAAAGAAAACACGTGATCCTTTCTTTTTTCTTTTTCTTTTAACTCATTAGTCGGCATTTTTGCTTTCCTGATGGTCATCCAGATGTCTCTCTGGGCCCAAAAGAAACACAAGCTGTACCTGAAGAAATTTTATCCAGAAGTGCGCAGAAAAGCAGCTATGATTCCTATCGTCTTCTGAGCTCTTGGTAAAAGCTGAAGCCTAAGTGTGCACAGTTCAATAGCTAACTCAGAGTAAATGAGCCATTTAATTCACCAACCGAAGTGGGTCTGAGGAAGCACTACTGGATATCTTTTTCAGAAAATTAACAGATCAAAAAGTTTTAATTAAGTGGAAAAAAACCAAAAACAAAACCAACAAAAACAAACCAAACCGCTCTTCAATTCTTGATTCCCGCTAAAAGATATTTAATTAGATTTTCTACATGGAGCTAATTGGGAAAGGATGAGGAATTTTTTTATATTCGATTTTAGGCTAGTATTTAGCTGGTTCAAATGGGCACGGATGCTGTTAATATTAATGAAATACATACACTTAATCTGCATGTGTTCAGCTCCGGTGATTTTAAGGTTTGGTGTTAGGTGTTGACCAGATTCTCTGATTTTTGTGTCAGAAGTTGTTTCCCAGCCTCATTTCTATTAAATTGCACAGAAACAGCTAAACAGCTAAACAGCTAAACAGCTAAACTACTAAAACAGTTTAGTTTTACAAAGCTTTTCCTTCTTTCTTTTTTTAATTGAATCCAAGAGCAAGTTGTTCAATGCAAATTGGTTTCAAATGATCACTGCAAAGAAATCTGGTCCACTTTCATTTTCAGGCAGGCAGATCAGCCCCATAATCTCAGGGAGGGGACAGTTTGTGAGGTGCTACCAGGATGACTCAAGGTACAAGAAGCACAGTTAGCTTAGCCCAAATAAGCACCTCAGGAGCTGTTTACCTCCCTGCATTATTTGATGATCATTCAGCATGTGAGGATGGGAGAGATGGGTGTCAGCTCCTGTAGCAAATGACTGAAGTTTTAAAATCAGGTAAAGAGCAAAGACTAGGTACAAACAAATGATGAAACACTATAGCAGACTGAAAAAAGAAAAGCGTGGCTGATACTTTGGGATGTGGTCTTGAATTGCTAAAACTACTCTAATTGTGTCAAGCTGCTTCATGAATAGCAATAAATCCAACTTTCTGCACATTCATGGATCTTTCTGTGTTACTCTGCCTGCTGGGATTTTCAGGGAAAGTTCTGATCACAGATAACTTATCTTTCTACATTCACCAGTAATCTCAGCCACAAACATCATTCACCTTCTGAACCAAAACCATTGTCCCTACACAAACATTTTCTTGAGAAAATTTGTCTAGACTGCTAATTACCTGGGGAAAAAAAGATTCCTTCTCAAGCTCTAAATATGCTGATATTTCTTGTACTATGGGAGGAAATAAATGGTTAACTGCAAATACTTTTGGCAGTATTTTCTATTCAGTGCAGACCTAACTTTCTCAGTTAGATTTCCTCCTACATCAGTAAGAGATAGGCATGGGCAAGGCCACATGTTTATCAAAACACCATCGTCTTTCAAGGTCAAAGGGAAGGAGCCGGCATTCAATATGACCCATCACGTCATATTGACCCAGTTACCCCTCACTTTGACAACTCTATATGAAGTTACTTTACAGGCATTGCTTAGGATGTCACCATCTCAGCACGCTGCATGCACTGGTATACATTGGAAAATCGTAATTTTGCAATCTTGCCTCTCTGTGGGGCCCTGAAGTTTACTGGTTGCAACAAAAATCCAATCTTTTCTTTTTGAGGTAGGTCCCTGATTCCGTTATCCTCAGCTTTTGCACCTGGAAAGTTGTTGGACTGCATGGCAGTGAACCTCATCTTTCCCCATGTCTAATTCCAAGAACTGCAAATGAGGTAGCCTAAAGTTGGGCCTTCATTTTCACATGCTTTTTTTCATGCTTTTGTGGCCTGCTTTTGGTATGAAAAACCAATGTGGAAAAGAGCAGCACCAGCTCAGGCTCTGTGGTGGTGCAAGGAAACCCTGTGAAGTGATGTGGCAGATGCTCTTGTACACAGCCTGGCAGCCTGCATGTGGATGCCCCATTTGAAAAAGCTCTTAAGACCCAGCCATATGCTTGTCTTATAAGGCAGTTACCACATCTTCTCAGTTGACGGGAATGAAAATTATCTCAGTGATTTCATCATTCCATAGGACACTGAAAGCAGAAGTGAATAGGCAGATGGTCATCCTTTTATAAAGATGCTATTATCATCAAAAAATCTTGTGCTTTCCATTGTTTTGTATAAAGTGACTTTAAATTGGCTTTTATCACACTAGGAACTGAGATCAAGCAGTCTGATAGCAAAGTAGTTCTCTGAAAGAGAGCCTGCAGTGATAGCTAAGTATAATAAAATAAAAGTCATTGAATGTGAAGACTTCTAAAGCACACTATAAGAGGGAGAATGCTATAGGAAAGCAAGAGATTATTTATCTATTTATAGTTTTAACAAGTGCTGCTGAACTAAAAATTAACTCAAACCATAAAGTGTTTTTCAGCAAGCTAGTATTTTCCACATGATGCTTTATTGGCTTCCCTTCTCTGCATTTTCCCAGGCACAAGTTCTGTCTCCAAGCTATATTCCCTGCCATTAGCATTCATGAAAGCTTTTAGAGAAATGTACTGTATGCTACTTTCAGCATTCTACAGATAAATGTAAATGAAGTGGTGCGTTGTCATCATACAGAGATGAGTGTCAACATGAATAATATTTTACTATGAAAAGCCTGGTTTATCATGGGTGAGTGTGTAAAGGCTGCTGTGTAGTACAATTAAAGGCAATTCTCACATCACAGAGGCTGAGCATCGTGGAAGATTTATTGTAATGGTCTCTGCACACGTGATGTTCAGCCTTGTGGGTCTCAAACATGCAAGTTTTTTGGCTCTTATTGATCCAAGAGCAAAACTGCCCTGGGCCTTGATAAAGGTGCTGGAGGTTGGTTATTTATTTGCCAAGCACATCAGAGACTGGATCTCATCCTGGCTGTGCTGGGTTTCTGAGAAAACATTTCCTTGCCCATCTAGACAAGAAGTTGCCCAGGTGAGGAGCATCAGTCACCATGTGAGTGAAATAATCTGCACTGCATTCCCTTGCAATTTAAAAGTAAAACCCAAATGCCCTTTGTCAATTGAAAAGACAAGTTAATGGGTTCTGAAGAATGCACATTAGAGTTTTAAAATTTACCATATATTAACACATCCACAATACCTAGACTTCTAACATGTATCTGCTTTTATCTAACTTCTGAAGCCTTTTAAGATTGAGGTACGAAGTAACAAGAAATCATTTGTAGTTAAAAGAAATATGATAAAAGTATTCAGTATTAATAGCGAACTCCTTATTTAAAAAAGTAAATTTCACATCTTTTGTCAAAGAATTCTGATTGTTAGCCAGCTTTCTCCTAACAGTGAAAAAGTAATATAGCTCTACCAGTGATCCCTTTGGTTCACACTGCTGTTTTGAATGCTCTGCCATATTCGGTAAAGAAGGCTTCTGTTTTAAAATTAAAGCTCTTACTATATGGGTACTCTTAAAGCACTATAGGATGGGCTCCAATGAAAACTGACAACATCAAGCATTCTTTTGCTCTTACTTATATTGAAAAGTTGATGCGTTTTTAGTTGACTGGTGAAACACCATGAAACTGAATCACAACACATTCTTTAAAAAGTGTCCCCAGGAGAAGAAGAGGGAAAAAAATTATGTATTTATTTATTTATTTGTCTAGGACACAATATGAAGTCATTCCTAGGTTCAAGGGCATACTTGCAGAGGGAAACATTGATTAGAGAGCTGGAAGAACCAGAATGTGGCTAGAGTGTGTTTTTATGGATTAGCAGATATGTCTTTTTGGAAAGAAATTTCACTCTTTCTGACACCAGAGCTTGACAGAAATGGATTAAAGATGACACATCTCCAATATTGCATCTAATGAAAAACAAAGTACCTATTCTTAAATGAAGGGAGGATATTTGTCACATATGAACACTGTATTCTTCCACCCTCAGTTTTGCATCATCTCTCTGCAGAACATGCTCTGCATTTGGACTTGTACAGATTTTGTTCTCATTCTTACTATTAATTTATTGCAGCTTTGGATATGCAGTAATGTCACAGGAAAACCAACTGTTGATTTCAAAGCAGTGAAGACAAAAAAATTGTTACCTATTTCAGTCCCACACTGATTGTGGGAATGTGATTATATTGCTGCCATTTTAGATATCCTCCCTGTAGCGACACGAAGCATCATGCTGTGTTTATAGGCTTGTCAAATCTTAATTCAGTTGCAAAGCACAGATCATGAAACAGTGGATTCCAATCCTTGGGACTACCTGAGCTCTGACTTTCAAATGACACTCCTAACACATTTTATTTGCAGTTACTGAGGAATTTCTGTCTGCAAAACAAAAGAACAATTCTTCCAGGTTTAACCAAGCAGGTTTGAAACACTTTCTTACTATTAAGCCATAAATCTGTTCCCATAGAAGCTGGAATGTGCTCTCACATACATGTTTGACATGTTCTCTTATGTAGAGGGCTCCAGGAGGCAGGAGGGGAGGATACTGCAATAATATGGATACAAAGACAAAGCAAATGGGGCTGTAGTGACCTATGAGCTACAGTATCACCAGGCTCTCAGTGCCTCGGACATCTGTCCCAAGAGATCATACTGCAGGTACAATAAAAATTTACTACAATCTAACAAAGGCAATGCTGATCCTGCTTATACATCTGAAATTACTTTTGAAGATGTAAGTACCTTAAGAACACTTAAACAGGTAATCTATTTTGATCACGTGCAAATATTTGCTGGAAACTGTATCTCAAACTTTCTTGCACTTCATTGGGAAATATCATTTTTTCCCCAGTAATTCTCACACACTGAGCTCACCAAGTTCCACAAGTTACACAGAGAATTACTAATGGTGACTAAACAAAAGCATGCTGTATTATTATTTGCAGTTGTTCATCTTAATCTGTTCAGCGTAGTGGCATGGCTACAAGATGAAATACACGGGTTAAAAAGTGTCGCAAGGGCCAAAAAGAAGGAGCAAAAGAAATATATTCTGCCCTTGCAGAGATGGGTTCTACCGCAAGAGAAAGCAAAAGATTCAAGGCAGCCTGTATCCTTTAACTGTCAGGGTGAAGACAAGAACACAAAGGAAAGGAATGGACGGAGGCAAGTCCATGCTTGGGGCTGCAAGCAAAACGTTCTTCCTTGCCCACTCCACATTCCCAGATGCCTCTGTACAATAAGTACAAGACACTGGAGGCAGAATACCTACCTGTAGGTGATTACAGCTCAGTTACATTAGACGAATCAACAAAACCAAAACAAGAAAAACAAAGGGACAAAAGGAATGAGCACAATCCTGCTGAAAAAGACTTGGGGGGACAAGTGGATGGGAAGC